TATGTGGGATCCGAACCCTCGGACGGGAGCGCCGCCGCGCTTCCCAAGCGGCGCACTATCCAGTGCGCCACCAGGCCGGCCCTTCCTCTACTTTCTTTACTGGAAAGTTTTCCTGCTGGTTGCATCTCATGAATTCCTTTTCGGTTTTAACTACTGGGTCAATTTCAGTTGTTTATAACCAATGAACTCTAACTGATACAGGTTAAACCTCAAATAAAATCCAACTGGATAAGGGAAAAAGAAAGAAAGGTATATAAGTATGTGAGTGAGCAAGCAAGCAAGCAAGGAAGCATGGTGAAAACAAAAAGAAAGTAGGATTTAAAGTCCACAGAATAGAATTTAAGGCGTTAAAAACAGAAAGGGTCATGAAAAAAAAAATATTAAAAATGGAGATAACCTAATCAAAGTGCATTTGTGGTGGGGATTTTAATTTATCTGTTTCAGAATTTAACAGATAAAATAGAATACAGAGATACACAAACCATTAGAGAAACAAGCAGAAAATACGAGTTGAGAAAATCCACATGATAAATAGACATGAAAATATGCTCAACCACATTTAGGGAAATGTATGTTAAAATAATAATAAGAAAACTTTTTTTTACCCATTGCATTGGCAAAAATTCATGAGTTATAATATCTGGTGCTAGGGAATATATTGTAAAACAGGTACTTTGAAAAGCATTTGATGGAAATGTAAATTATTACAGTAATTTAAATTATTAAAAAAAATGACAATATTTGGGTGAAATAACCTTTAAATATCTCTTAAAACTGTAAATGCTCATACCCTTTGACTTGGCAATCTGAATTTTGGGAATCTGTCTTTCACAAGCAATAGAACCAAAATGTGCTCTATATACATATGAGAATGTGTATTGCAACATTATTTTTAGTGGCAAAAAGTCAAAGAAAACCTGAATATTCATAGATGGAATAATTCTGAATAAAATTGTAATACATCCATTCTTTTGAGTGTTATTCTGCTATTAAGGAGTTGGTACTATCTGTCAACTTGGACATATTATTGACTAGGAAAACGAATGATACTGTCTCGGATTTGACCCCATTTGTATAAAATATATAATGAAAACTGTGTGTGTGTATGTATTAAATATGTTATGAATATGGAGAAAGGTATGGAGGCATCAACCTAGCTGTTAACAGTTGTCACTTAGGGAGGTGGGATGGAGAAGAGGGGATCCTTTTTTTTTTTTTTGTACTTTCTACAGTAAGTACATGATGCTTTTGTAATTAGGAAAAGATTAATAATACCTGTAGATCAAATAAGAATTTTATCAAGGTAGGAAATTTTCTAGGAAACATGTAGTATTTAATCAGTGAGAACTTGGATGTTTTAAGTAGTAAAGATATGGATATACGATGAGTCACAGCAGCATTGGTTTTTATTCCCAATTATCAGAATTTGCAATATGTTATTTTATGTTTTAATTAAGAGGCTACCGGT